AAAACTTTATAGATACCCCATAATAATAATAACACATGTTTACACTACTCCACACTACTTACATGCACATACTTAACGCCTGACCGCGCCTTGGGGTGGGTTCTCGATTCGGAACCAGGTAAGTTCTTATTAATTACCTAGCCTTACATCTATTGTGTAGGATAATTGTCCTTCAGGCATTTTGAGCCTCACCCTTAGTTGTCCGTCGAATCTACAGCTGTATGGGCCCCTGTATGGTCGATCTTTGTAGGGGCAACTAGGGGCGCGTACATTTTTGGTAGCAGAGCGTGGTTTGGATTGGTTCTCCAATCAAGCCTGGCCGTAATATAGGTAATAAATAAGTACGTAATAAAATTTAAATATTTTTTTGTTGTCGTTAGCGGGTATAATTAAAAGCCACGCCCGTTAGGCTGCGCAAGCAGGAGTTTGTTAGGGCTAAGTACGCGTCAGGTATTTTGGGTAGGTAGATAATTGTTATCACGTAATCGGATAATTATCGTTGTCGTATAATTATAGCAGATTAATTGTCGAAGGGTCGGTTGTCTGAGCGAGGCATCTTTGCTGATCGACTGTGATGTGTACTTTTATTTGTAGTGTAATTTGTATTTAATTTAATAAATAGTTATTGTATTTATGTAACTTGTATTTAACTTGATTTGATAGTAATTGTATTTGTTATTTGTTACTTTGATTTGTATGTGTGCCGCGTAGTAATTGTATTTAGTAATGATGCCATCGCACAAACTACCTATTCGTCGCCTGAAGGCGGAGCTGCGCTGGGCCGTTATGCTTTGATAGGTCGACCGGATAAGTTCTATAGTTTGGAGAAGCGGCTCGAGCAGGTTGCGGCCCGGGGGGCCGTAGTGGAGGAGGCTTACGCTGAGCTCGAGGCCTCGGATGCCGAAAAGGGAGTCCTGGACTCCTGCCTCACGGACTATGAGCAGTTCTTTTCGCTCACGGACGACTTGATCGAGGACGGGGTCAAGTATGCTAAGGAAGTACGTGAAGATCGACTGAGTGGCCTGGCCGAGTCCTCTCTGAAGCAGCCTACTCAGCCGGAGCTGTTGGGACGACTCCCAACTCTGGACCTGCCAAGGTTCTCCGGGGTCCTCTCCGACTGGATGACTTTTGTAGGCCTTTTTGATAGTCTAGTGGACGCCCGGACGGACTTGACACCAAGCCAGAAGATGGCGTACCTCCTAGCCTCACCGGAGGGGGAGGCCCTGGGCGTCTTCGGCCATTTGAGATTGTCGGACGACGCCTACCAGACTGCTCGGGACCTCCTCGCCGGAAGATACGCCGACGTCCGGCGAATTGCGGACGAATACGTCAGGCAGCTTTTAAGCCTCCCACTGCTTAGGGACCGGGACAGACTACGACCGGACCTCTTGAATCCAGTCTTGGTGGCCCGTAATGCGTTGAGTCGGCTGGATTTACCGGTGGATGAATGGTCCTTCTTGTTGCTCCACATCGTGTAGTGTTATGCTACTTACATATCATTTTACATTATTTTAAATTCATTTTTCCATTCTGTTTCGATTTTTTGCATTCACCTCAAAACTGGATATTTTACATCACCTTTATTTCCATAGGATCCTGTAACGATTTTAAACCATAAGAACACAATAACAAATCATTTTCACTTCGTATTTTCACACTATCAGCACTTTTAAATTGGTGTCAATGGAGTCTACCTTTTTCGATCTTTTATTTAGTTTTCCGTAACTCTGCAATTTCGGGCTTTGTGCGCGCAGGTGCGCTACCTTTTTTCCTATATCAATAATATCTCATTTTTCACTTAAATCTTGCCGTTTTTCTATTACGAGCCTAAAACCAAAATTTGACATGTTTTGACATCGTTGTTTATCTGGTTGTCATGACAATTATATTCAAATTCGCTACCGGTCTGTTGTTTCTACTTCGATAATTCCAGCATAACACTACAAACGAATCTCTGTCGCGTTATTGGCGAAACTATTTTGACATTTGAGGAGCTTGCCACTGTATTCTGTAAAATTGAGGCGGTACTCAACTCTCGGCCCCTCTGTCCCCTCTCGTCCGATCCGAATGATTTGGAGGTTCTAACCCCGGGCCACTTCCTGATTGGCTAGCCGCTTAATGCCCTGCCCGAGTACCCCTTCAGGGAAATAAACTCTTCTCGGTTGAGCAGATTTGACCTGCTGCAACAGATGATTCAAAGTTTTTGGCACCGATGGTCTCTGGAGCACCTACACCTCTGGTGTACAAGGGCCATTAGAACTATTTACAACCTAAAACCGAGAGAGGTTCTTCCCAGGAGAGAGGTTTTTTTTCTGAACCAGGCTCTGGAGAAGTTCTCAGAGAGTGTTTTTAGAAATTGTTGGATTGTGGGGAGCTCTAAGTCTCGATGGAAGTCGGCGTTACGGACGTACTAGGGTACGTTCGTAGTTCGATGACAGAAAAGGTTTTGAAGTATTTGGAGTTCGTTAATGATTTTGGGGTTAGCCTGAGCAAATATAGGGCCCGCGTTAGTCATGACTAGTCGTATACAGACCTTATAAAGGGTTCGCTTGTTTCGCAGGGACATTTTACTGTGTCAGCCCAGCATACTATTGTGCCTACTCAGATAAAAGCGCGCGTTGCGAGTTACTCTGTTGACATGGGGCCCGAAGGTGAGCCTCGTGTCAAGGGTGTACCTAAGAACTAACTTGTGTCTGAATTCGAGTCTTTGTGGAACCAAGTCTCGGATTGAGGCCGACTGAATCTAGTCCAGTTCAATTCTCAGAAGACACAAATTTGCGCTTTTACCGCTAAAAAGAACCCTTTCGTCGTATCGTCCAGTTTCAGGGCACTCCCCTTGTTGCCTCAGCCAGCATCAGAATCATCGGCGTCGCCTTATTGAATGATGTGCAGTTTCGTGGTCGCTTAGAAAGGAAGGCAAAGTTGACCTCTAAACAGCTTGCCGTGCTCAGCATAGCGGGACAGTATTTCATGCCGGCACAACGCCTGCAATTTTACAAGGCGCTGGTTCGACCTCACATGGAATACTTTTCTCATCTCTGGGCCGGGGTTCACTAGTACTAGCTCCTTCCACTTGACTGCATCCAGCGCCGAGCCGCAAGAATTGTCGACGACCGACTTCTCTATGATCGGCTCCACTCACTGGCGCTGAGAAGAGATGTTGCATCCCTTTGCATTTTCTATCGCATTTACCATGGGGAGAGCTCAGAGGAATTGTACGGATTAATTACAGCCGCCAAATTTCATCAACGCACATTGCGACAAAACTTACGTTACCATTCACTTCATCTGGATGCCACTAATGTGCGATTTACTATGAGTTTTCTTCAAGCTCAAGCAACAAGCTTACTCTTTTTTAAAAGAGTCGACAACGCACCTGCAATTCCCCTGGTGTTGCAGTTGTTGATGGGCGGCGATCAACACTTACCATCAAGTGAGCCGCTTGCTGATTAGCCCCCAATTCTATAAAAAAAATCTATCCATAGATGAGGGGAAACTGAAACAAGAATTTACAGCAGCATCTTCCTGACAAAACTCAAAGTAATTTTAAAAAGCTGCAGTTGTCAACCGTCGTCAGTGGCATGTCAAAAAGCCTATGTTCAACTCTGGAATTTGCTGGGCAGTAAGAAATGAAATAAGTCATTCAATATTTAACCTTATGCAATATTTTGAAATTAACAATATACACAAATTAAGGAAGATTAAACTATATCATGGCACACATAAGATCAAGTTTCAAATACATTCATCATTACAGAAATAATTTCTAAAAATAATATTGAAACACATAAGATACTCGCTGATACCTGCAACTTCGTACGCATTGCTTACACACATAACTGAACATGTACTTGCTTATAAAAATCATTGTTTCTTAAGACTTTCATTACTTTATATTAAATGAAGATATTGCAATATTTTTTTAGATAAGTGTCTCACAAACAAAACTTAGAAAACCTAATTGAAATATATCCCAGTAGTTTTTCAGTGATGCACGCACAACTGCAAACATGTATCATTATATTTATATAGATTCATATACCTTACATAATTTCTTTTTTTACTTATTATAAATTATAAGCCAGTGCATGACTAAAATCCCACCTGATGGTAAGTGGGTAAGAAGATGAGATGAGTAGATGGTAAGGTATGTAAATGTCAGCCTATGGTCCGGACTCAAAACACCCACAACTGATGAAGTAGAAAGTTTTCAAGGTGCAGCCTAGTACCGGAAAATGATGTATAGGGCTGCTAATTGGAAAGATAAGCTTGTAAGACATGCAGGAAGTCCATGTTCAGCAATTAATTTGTGATGATAAATATAAGCCAAATACTCTAACCACTCTATACATTCATTTGACATTTTCTTGTATACCTGCTATTACTTTGATAGTTGTTTCAGTTGACACATGAAACTTTAACATTTTTTTTTGTTGAATAAGGGTGACAAACAAGCACACAGTCCACCTGATGGTAAATAGATTCTGCGGCCCATAAACATCTACATTTATCCTTGGTGAAGAATCAAAATGCAGGAGCTTTATCACCCCTAAGGATTAAGGTGGAATGCCTAATTTCCAGTAAAAAAAGTATCCAGTTCTCTACACTCACCATACAAAACACAGCAGCATTAAGTTGCTATTTTACGCTGGTATTACTGGTACTACTTATTCTGTCAATGTGTCAATATCCATAGATTATCGCGTAATATATAATCTGTAAGTAATTTATAGAGTTATAGATACATTTTAAACAATTTTTTTTATTCTCTAAGTTTATAAACTATTAATATTTCACGTGAAGTGAAATATTCTGTTTTATTCTGTTTAGTAATTATAATTTTTAAACAGAGACTGATTTTCTAAATTACTATGATAATATTCTGTGCTTATAGAACCATATTTTGATATCTTTGAAAGTATATTACCATAGACAATTTGAGTTGTCTGAGAGGTTCCGACAAGATCGGTGGTTGCCTGTAAATTTCGGTGTGGATTGAGATGTCGGATATCGGCAGCGGTGACGAAGGAATTTCTAGTCAGAGTACGTATTTTTTTGCAGCGGTGCAACGTTCAAGACGGGTTATGTTTCGCGCCGTTTTAGTTATTCGCGTCGGAGGACGTTCACAATTGCGCTAACGTCCAAAAGTAAATATTTCATTGTTCCCGTTTCAAAATGGCGATTTCGGGCTTGTTATATCTCAAGCGTTGAGGCCTCAAAGGGTTCCTCTATCGGAATCCGTCGGCAGCGAACGACGGTGCGACGGCCCGCCCGGTCCGCTGCTACAGCCGGCAGAGGTTGACGACCTATCGATTTTTTGTCTGTGACCTCTCTTCGTCTGGTGGGCCGGTGTCGGTTACTGGCATCGCGTTACGGCCAGCTGATAGCTTGCGGAGCCGCGCAGGGCCGACTACTTGCTGCCTTTTTGTTTTCGAGCTGAGTGCCACCGGGTCAGCTGAGTGTGCGCCGGCATCATGGCAGGTCAGTGGCCCTCTGTCTCAAAACGGCTTCTTGCCCACTGACCTCACTAAACGTGTTGCTTTAACGCTGCTGTCTCGATCTCCAGCAAAGTTTATGCAGTATTTTCTAATTTTTCGTTCCGCGGATTTACAGCTGTTTAGATAACCTTTTAGTGTTGTCATCCTTTGTTACAACTCCTAGTTGTATCGAGTGCTTATGATGTGTGTGATAACCAGTGAGTTTCAGTGTCATTTGTGTTCTAGTGTAATTTTGTACATTATTTATCACAAAACAGGACAAAGGATTTTTTAAACTAGAGTTTTGAAGACAAAGGAAGTGTTGACAATTTGTATGGTGTTCATTAATTTTGATTAATTACAAAGAAGATTGAATTGCCCAGACGATATAAATGTTAATTCTGAAAAGAGTTTGATAGCAGTGATTTTTTTTTTACATTTAACCTATGGGAGTAATTCAACAAGTTAGGCAGTGAGGTATGGCTTATTATTAATATCAATTCCAGCTGTCATGAAATTGTATGGAGTTCTTAGTAACACTAGAGGTAAGCTTTGTTTTCCTTGGAACTAATAGATATATATTTAGAACAAAAATAGTTTGACTTATTAGTAATATGTTAAATTAGGCTCTAAATTATAGATAGTGCTTCTATCCTGGTTGTGGCGCAGTGCTGGTTCATAATAACAAATGGCGGTATTGCATCTTAATTCTATATATCAATCACCTTTATCCTTGTTTGTTAGGCTACAACTACAGATTTACTGTGTAATAGCAGTGTAAGAATATCCGCTACCACATACCATTCCGTGGGTGTAGTAAGAGGCTACAGAGGAAAACTAATCAGGAGATGGGCAGCAGTGTCTTCCTAATAATGACTAAAAAATAAAAAATTAAACTGTGGTAGCCAACCTACTTGTCAAGCATGTCAACTATGGCAAATATTCCCCCCTATGAGGCAATCTATGGGGAGTCCTGTATTCAGCAGTAGACTTTAGTAGGCTGTAATGGTAACAATTTACTGCAATTTTGTTGTTGTCCAATAGGCAGAAGTATCAAACTTGTTTATTTAATTAATAGTAATAAAAATCTGTTAGGCACCCATAAAAATATTTGCAAAGTAGTTCCATTATTAATCAGTAGGCCGTTGTCAACTGTTCCATGTAACTTTCTATATATATTTTTTGTGTGTTTTAAAAAACTTGATTATTTACAATCAATTTCACAAACACTTTTTTAGCCAAAGAGTGGTTGAAGCATGGAACAAGCTTCCATCAGAAGTAATATCAGCACAAACCATAAACCAATTGAAGAACAGGTTGGATAATCAACTAAAATAGAACAATTACACATTTGAAACCAGGATATAGGCTTACATCAATTGTTTCAATGGCTTGCTAATTAATAATAATAAAAATAATAATAAATGTAGGTATACTTATGTAGATTAAACAATTAATAGGTATGCTAAGGTATGTTAAGTATATTTGCGATAAAATAGCAAGAAATTCTCTTTTAACTTAACTTGGGAGTGAATAGTTTAAAATTTTATAATCTTGTAACAGCAAAGTAATTCTAATTGTTTAAATTAGCTAGTATTATGAAAAAACATATCCACTTTGTTATTAGCCGTTGAATAAAAATGTCCACAAGTGTGAACAAGGTTTGCAGTTTATCAATAGTTTGTACATTTTAAGATTGCTTATTCTAAGCTTGCTTCCGGTTTTAGTGCTGTGTAAAACAGTGTGTTCCGTTTCCTATCTTAGATAAGTAAATCAAGTCAGCATCACACCTTTTACGTACTATTATAAATTAGTGTTTTATTATCTAAATATTTCAGAAATTTCTTCTGAAATGACTCCAGATGTGTTACATATACAATGTACTGCGGATTTTACACTTGTAAACTATTTATTTATTTATTCTTTATTGTAACACCTTTCAGCTAAGGTAACAATGGGTGGACTTAATGCCTGTCGGCATTCCCTGCTGGTCACCCCATAAGGTAATGCGCTGTTGTGGCAGGTCGTAACTTACATAATGATCTCTAAATAATAATAATATTAATTAATTTTATGAAAGGTATAAGACACCAATGAGGCCCTTGTTTACTATTTTAGATGAAGTGTTATTCTTACACTGTACCTAACACATCCATTATCATTGTGCCAAATGTTTGTGATCCATATTTACAGTGGTGGATCTATGGCAACTTAATATAATGGTATTTATAGTATAGTATTTTAACGTGGTAGAGTCACACTGCAGCTATATTATGGTTGTGGCACAAATGGTTCAGCTCAACCTGGGTAGGACTAAACTCTCACAGAATACCAGCGTAAAATAGCAGCTTAATGCTGCTGTGTTTTGTATGGTGAGTGTAGAGAACTGGATACTTTTTTTACTGGAAATTAGGCATTCCACCTTAATCCTTAGGGGTGATAAAGCTCCTGCATTTTGATTCTTCACCAAGGATAAATGTAGATGTTTATGGGCCGCAGAATCTATTTACCATCAGGTGGACTGTATGCTTGTTTGTCACCCTTATTCAACAAAAAAAAATGTTAAAGTTTCATGTGTCAACTGAAACAACTATCAAAGTAATAGCAGGTATACAAGAAAATGTCAAATGAATGTATAGAGTGGTTAGAGTATTTGGCTTATATTTATCATCACAAATTAATTGCTGAACATGGACTTCCTGCATGTCTTACAAGCTTATCTTTCCAATTAGCAGCCCTATACATCATTTTCCGGTACTAGGCTGCACCTTGAGAACTTTCTACTTCATCAGTTGTGGGTGTTTTGAGTCCAGACCATAGGCTGACATTTACATACCTTACCATCTACTCATCTCATCTTCTTACCCACTTACCATCAGGTGGGATTTTAGTCATGCACTGGCTTATAATTTATAATAAGTAAAAAAAGAAATTATGTAAGGTATATGAATCTATATAAATATAATGATACATGTTTGCAGTTGTGCGTGCATCACTGAAAAACTACTGGGATATATTTCAATTAGGTTTTCTAAGTTTTGTTTGTGAGACACTTATCTAAAAAAATATTGCAATATCTTCATTTAATATAAAGTAATGAAAGTCTTAAGAAACAATGATTTTTATAAGCAAGTACATGTTCAGTTATGTGTGTAAGCAATGCGTACGAAGTTGCAGGTATCAGCGAGTATCTTATGTGTTTCAATATTATTTTTAGAAATTATTTCTGTAATGATGAATGTATTTGAAACTTGATCTTATGTGTGCCATGATATAGTTTAATCTTCCTTAATTTGTGTATATTGTTAATTTCAAAATATTGCATAAGGTTAAATATTGAATGACTTATTTCATTTCTTACTGCCCAGCAAATTCCAGAGTTGAACATAGGCTTTTTGACATGCCACTGACGACGGTTGACAACTGCAGCTTTTTAAAATTACTTTGAGTTTTGTCAGGAAGATGCTGCTGTAAATTCTTGTTTCAGTTTCCCCTCATCTATGGATAGATTTTTTTTATAGAATTGGGGGCTAATCAGCAAGCGGCTCACTTGATGGTAAGTGTTGATCGCCGCCCATCAACAACTGCAACACCAGGGGAATTGCAGGTGCGTTGTCGACTCTTTTAAAAAAGAGTAAGCTTGTTGCTTGAGCTTGAAGAAAACTCATAGTAAATCGCACATTAGTGGCATCCAGATGAAGTGAATGGTAACGTAAGTTTTGTCGCAATGTGCGTTGATGAAATTTGGCGGCTGTAATTAATCCGTACAATTCCTCTGAGCTCTCCCCATGGTAAATGCGATAGAAAATGCAAAGGGATGCAACATCTCTTCTCAGCGCCAGTGAGTGGAGCCGATCATAGAGAAGTCGGTCGTCGACAATTCTTGCGGCTCGGCGCTGGATGCAGTCAAGTGGAAGGAGCTAGTACTAGTGAACCCCGGCCCAGAGATGAGAAAAGTATTCCATGTGAGGTCGAACCAGCGCCTTGTAAAATTGCAGGCGTTGTGCCGGTATGAAATACTGTCCCGCTATGCTGAGCACGGCAAGCTGTTTAGAGGTCAACTTTGCCTTCCTTTCTAAGCGACCACGAAACTGCACATCATTCAATAAGGCGACGCCGATGATTCTGATGCTGGCTGAGGCAACAAGGGGAGTGCCCTGAAACTGGACGATACGACGAAAGGGTTCTTTTTAGCGGTAAAAGCGCAAATTTGTGTCTTCTGAGAATTGAACTGGACTAGATTCAGTCGGCCTCAATCCGAGACTTGGTTCCACAAAGACTCGAATTCAGACACAAGTTAGTTCTTATACTCGACGTGTTCCCGAGAAATATTGGAACGGCCGGTATAAAAAGCATCACCAGTGCTGTCGTCCGAATAGCAATGAATGTTACTTCTTTGCAACATATTGATATGCAGAAGAAACAGTATAGGTGATAGCACGCAGCCTTGTGGAACACCAGCATTAAAAGGTTTGTAATTGGAGCATACACCGTCTACTACAACCTTGCAAGATGCTCCGATCTGCAAGAAAACTGGTTATCCAATTGCAATTTCTTGGGGAGCGC